TTCGAGGTGGTGCTTCGCCTCAACGCGGACCAAGCGCGGCGCATCTTCACGGAGTTTATCCCCGCGGTGAACGAGACTTGGCTCAGCTTGGCCGTGGATGTTGGTTTGCCTGTGAGTGGCCAAAATGAAAAGGGGGGCCGTAGAAAGGGTGGCTCCCAAGGCGCCCATGGGGCTTGTTTTTGTTGGGGGGCCCAGTGAGAAAGTAGTTTTGCGGGAACCCCCTTTGGTATACAGAATGCTTTATTTACCACAACCATACAGCCGTGGTGTGTGTGTGTGTGCTTTTGGGGCTCTGGTTTGTTGGTCGGGGAGACCAAATTGAGCACCGCCACTTTTCGTCGCCAACTTTGACACCTATCCACTTAGTGGCTCTTTCCTCTTATGACAAGGAGTCTGTTGCAGTGCAGTTGTTGTTTAGAGTTAAAGCCTTGCGGGTATGACCACAGTCTTTTTCCAAGTTCAAAAGATTGTTGCTCTTAGTTGCCTTTCAAGCTGTTTCTACATGTTGCTTTTAAGTGTGACCTTTTGGCAAGCGTTTGTTTCAGAATGAATGCAAAGCATGAGCGTCTTGCAATCCAACACAGGAGACTTCGCCCGCAACCAAGCCACTCTACCAGCTCATGCGGGCGGAGAGCACTACAAATGGGGAGACCTTAGTGAAGGACATCACCTGTGGAGATGGCGCCTTTACTTCTGTGTGTGTGTGTGTTTCCGTTTAGAGCCATTTTGGAGGTCGACACATATCCCTCTTTGTCTCCCCGATTCAAAACGCATTTCCAGAAAAAACCGCTTCCGCTGGAGCGCGAGGTTAGACGAACCAAACTTGCTGTTGCCAAAGTTCAAGGCACATGGTGGTGGAAAAGTGGGCTGTAGCACCATATTCTTTCATACCAAGGAATCCACGATAAGAATCAAAGTAGTCGCGTTGATGGGAATCCGTCTTGGAATTAGAAGGGATATGTCCCACGACCATGTCCCTCTCCAAATTGAAATGCAGTTTTTGAAGCTAACTAAGCGCACCGATCTTGGTCCCGCACATTGTTTTTTGCCGGGAAAACATTCCAGGCACGAATTGGATCTTGAACTTCTGCAAGGACAAGCTGGGGGTGGCGCCCTATCCAGGCTTCGAGTTCAAATCCACCAACATCGTTTTCCGTGCTGACCACTTGGAGCCCGTGGACGCTAACTCCCCGGAGGCAATACAAAAACAAACGGTTTGCCCGTTGAACTTGCAAAAAATGTTTGACCCAGTCTGGATTGGGTTGCTTGTTTGGTTACGCAGTGTCTTCAACCAGTCTTTGCACAATTTGACAATGTCCAGCTCCTTTCTTTTCAAGGGTGCAAAGGCGAGCTCAGTCCAGTGCAAAATATATGACCCCGCTGGTTCAAAAAGTGTCCTTTTGTGTCCCTGCGTTTCCATTTACCTTTCTGTTTTTCTAGTGATTTGTCCATTTGTCCATTTGCCTGCCTGCCTATTCATCCATGCATCTATGGTGTGGCCTGTCCATCTACGTATCTATCTATTGATATGTCGAATCTAATCTATTCCATCTATCTGTGTTTCTATCGACCTCCCCACCTATTGTACTACTCTATCTATTTGTTTGTGCATCTATCTATCTAACAACAAAATCTAATCTAATCTAATCTAATCTAATCTATGTATAGAGCTATCTGTTTTTGCCATTCTATCCTTCTATCTATGTGCCTATCTATCCTAACACAACCTATCTATCTATTTCTGTCTATCTATCTATGCATCTATCTATCCATCTATCTATCTATCTATCTATCTATCTATCTATCTATACCGCGGGTGGGCCATCCAAATCAATCCTCAGGCTTTGGTGAAGGCTTCACCAAAAAGAGTTGTTCAATGTTGCAAATCGGTCCGAAACCCAGTTTTCACGATCGAGGTGGTGGCCTACTTCACGGAGTTGTCTGACTTCCTGGGCCCCAGGACGACCGAGGAAACGGCGGTGCCTAGGTACCTTTGGGGAAATTGTGGTATAGCCAGACCCCAGATGAACTGGGGGTCTCTTGCAAAAGGAACAATAAACATTCTGTGGCAGACTGAGACTAGGGCCAAGAGAAACAAAAGACAACCTTTGTTTAGACTTGCTTGAACAGGCGCACCCCTGACAGGTACCTGGAGTTTTTGTACTTCTCACAAGTCCACTACGTCTATGACAGCATCCCGGCTAAGCCCAAAAGATGGGGTTGTCTCCGAACAGAGGACCCTCAACGTATACTGGAGTTTATTTTTTGAAACCAATCGAAGAGAATGGGGAGTACCCTTGTGCAACTGGCCGCAAGGCAACATCAAGACCTATTACAAGGTGGAGGGCAACAGATTCCCGTGGGTGGAAATTCAGTATCGTGCGCTGCCGTTGGAGAGCCCCAGGGTCTTAGAGCAACAGCCTCATGGCCCTTTTCTGCTTTAGGCACATAAGTTGCCTAGAAGTTTTGCACGGGGTTGCCCAGACTTTTTTCTTGATGATTTGAAGCGTGATTGCTGCTTGGGCTAATCTAAAGGAACTGTCCTTCAGGTTGGGGTGATGTAAGGAGAAATGTGGGCAACACTGTTGCATGCAATTTAACGCGCGGAAGCCAGTCGGTTCAAGACTGTTCTTGGCATAAAGACAAAGAATCAGGTATACACGAACACAACCTTTTCTCAGTCAAACCGGCGGAGGAGGGCGAAAATTTAAAATATATTTGGCAATATTGTTCGGAGTGTTTTGTTTCTCCTTTATATCTAATTCTTTTTAGCGATTTTGTTTTTTGCTCTTACTCTCTGTCTTTTTCGTTTGTTTCAGTCTCCTTCTTTTTCTCCTCTCCTTCTTGCTCTTTGTCTGTCTCTATTTCCTTCTCTTGTATCTCTTTCTCTTTCTCATTGAGTTTCCCTTTTTATTTTCCTTTAAAATATCAAGGATTACGAGTTGTTTATGGTCGAGAAGTATATAAGGAAGGCCGAATATGTGTTCTTTAGTGATTGTTTTGTTGATGTTCTTATGTTTTGTTCTTATTTATTATGTCCGTCCTAATTGTATTGTGTTGTTTTTGTGTCGGTGGCTGGAGGTGTTCTTTAATGTATTAATGTATTAATGTATTAATGTATTAATGTATTGTCGAAATGGTTATGATTTATGATTTGTTAGTAGGGAGTAACAGATAAAAGTGTTTATAGTTCGGTTTAAATTTATGGATTTTTGGATCCCAGCTTGTTGATGTGGGAAATTGTTATAAAATTATTTACACGCTGACGCGACACAGCCGGCTACCGGGCACCTTGCCCTGCCCGTTCTGTTACGCCCCTTTCTTGTAATTCCGATTAGTAGATATTAAGATTTTAAGATTCTATAAATTTTGAGATTCTAAGGGTCTTAGATTTGAAGATTTTCGGAATTTAAGGTCTTAATGGTTTAAGAATTAAGGTTTTAAAATTCAAAGATTTAAGATTTTTGAAGGATATAATAGCTAGGCCATTGCGCAGCCATTTTCCATTTATTATCAGATTTCGAAGGCTTTAAGATTTTATTTTTTTGAGATTTTTTGATGTGGCGACTTTCGGAATTTAAGATCTTAAGATGTTAAAACGTTAAAATTTGAAGATTAAGAGTTTAAGGAATTTAAAACATAGCCCGGATTGAAGGAATTTTATTATATTCTACTTGTTTATGAATTTAAGATTTTCAGATTGTAATAGTTCGAGATTTAAAGAATTTCAGCTTTTAAAATTTTGAAGATTCTGAGATTTTTGAGATTTTAAGATTTCGAGAATTGGGAATTTCATATTTTAAGATTTTAACATCTGAAGATTCAAAGATATTAGGGTTTTAAGAAGTCAAGATTCGAAGATTTTAGGATGTTTATATTTTCAGATTGTAAGATTTTAATTTCTAAGGTTGTAATTTTAAGATTTTCAGGTTGCAAGATCTCAATATTTCAAGATTAAGAGTTTAAGGAATTTAAAATATAGCCCGGATCGAAGGAATATAATATTTTAATAATTTAAGATTTTCAGATTTCAATTGTTTGAGATTTAAAGAATTTAAGTGTTTAAAGCGTTTTAAAATTCTGAGATTTTAAGATTGTAAGATTTTGGGAATTTCATATTTTAAGAGTTTAAGATCTTAAGATTCTAAGGCAAGGTTTTTAAGATTTCAAGATTCGAAGACTTTAGGATGTTTTTTTTATTTTCAGATTCTAAGTTCTAAGATTTTAAGATCTTGAGATTCTAAGATTGATTGTTAGATTTAAATTTAAGATTTTAAGAATCTAAGATTTTAGGATTTTGAGATTTTAATCCAGGCTATTTTCCATCCATTTTCCATCCACTTTCAGATTTTAAGATTCTAAGTTCTAAGATTGATTGCTAGATTTTAAGTTAAGATTTTAAGAATCTAAGATTTTAGAATTTTTAGATTTTAATCCAGGCCATTTTCCATCCATTTTCCATCCTTTTTAAGATTTTAAAATTTTCAGAATGCACGTTTTCGGCAAACATGGCCCGACTTAGGGCATAACATCCCCAGCATCCCCCGCATCACCGGCATCATCCGCATCAATGTCCGCCAAGGATGCGGATGATGCAGGTGATGCCGGGGATGTTGTCCACTATGGGCACCTCCCAGAACTCGTTTTTTGACTCCGCGGGGAGATGCTCAAAAAGCCGCCAAAAATCGCCTGAACAAATCCGTAAATCCTTCGCCCCTTAGCAGGCTTGGCGCAGCGCAAAAGTTCTGCTCATGGTCGGCGCATGGTCGGCGGCATGGGGCGCGCGGCCTTATACCTGAAGGTAAGCCCTGCGGGCTTAGGCCTGCGGCCCGATCGCGTCCGGTGGCCGGAACGTCCCTGACCGGCGTGGATAGCACCCCCTGCATCGATTGCATCATCCGAAGCAATGTCCGCCATGGATGCTCAATTGTCGCACCCTGTTGCAATCCTTTTTCCATTCATTCCATCAATACATTTTCCAGGAACTTTCCATCAATTGTCCACACATTTTCCATCCATCACCTTTCCCTCCATTTCCCGCATTTTTTTCATTAACGCCCTTTCATTTCCATCAATTTTGCATCCTTTTTGTCCATCCTTTTTCCAGCCCATTCCATCCAGCCATTTCCCATGAATTGTTTATTCGCATTCCTTTCCTTTTTCGTTCCCGCTGTCTGGTTCCCTTTACGTTCTGCCCGTGCATTTTCCTGCACCTCGGTTTCTCTCCAGTGCCCTCCTCATTTTCGTGCAATTCCTTTGACTTTCATTTCGTTCACTTTCAGTCACTCCTATTTCCTTGTATTTCCCCTTCAGCCCCTTGTTTTGCATCGCCAGCATGCATAGCATCATCCGCATCATCCGGGATGATGCTGGCAATGCTGGGGGTGTAGTCCAGTATTAAGCACCTCCTAAAAATACTCGTTATTCGACTCGTTTTTGGATGCTGCGGGGGATGCTACAAAAGTCCTCAGAAATCGCCTAAGCCAATCCGCAAATCCTTCGCCCCTTATAAGGGTGGGCCCAGCGCAAAACGTATGCGCATGGTCGGAGCATGGTCGGCGCATGGTCGGCGCATGTTCTGCGCATGGTCGGCGGCATGGGGCGCGCGGCCTTATACCTGAAGGTAAGCCCGACCGGGCTTTGGCCTGCGGCCCGATCACGTCCGGTGGCCGGATTTACACGCTGACGCGACACAGCCGGCCACCGGGCACCTTGACCTGGCCGTTCTGTCACTTCCCTTTCCGTTCATTCCGATCAGTTCCCGAGATTTGAACCTCACTTCCTTTGCGCGTGTTTCCTGCACCTTCGACAGTTTCGCCGTGTCAGTCGCAGTCCTCCCCTCTGTTCTTTTCAGCTTCCGTGACTTCAGTCCGCCTCCCATTCCACGTCAGTTTCCTGCACATCCCTTCATTTCGCAGTTTCTGTTCGTTTTCCATAATTTCCACAATTTGTTTTCGTTTCCTTCTTCGGTTCCCCTTGTCTGACCTTGCATTTGCTTGCATTTTGGCTTGTCTCCAGTGCCTCCCTCAAATTCGTGCAATTCCTTTTGATGTCCATTTCGTGGACTTCTAGTCACGCCTGCTTCCAATTTTCCGCCTCTTGTTTCGCATCGCCAGCATGCATAGCATCATCCGCATCATCCGGAATGATGCTGTATTAGGCACCCCCTAAAAATACTCGTTTTTGGACGCTGCGGGGAGATGTTGTAAAAATCCTCGGAAATCGCCTAAACCAATCCGCAAATCCTTCGCCCCTTATAAGGGAGGGCCCAGCATAAAACGTACGCGCATGTTCTGCGCATGTTCTGCGCATGGTCGGCGGCATGGGGCACGCGGCCTTAAACCTGAAGGTAAGCCCTACCGGGCTTTGGCCTGCGGCCCGATCACGTCCGGTGGCCGAATTTACACGCTGACGCGACACAGTCAGCCACCGGGCACCTTGCCCTGCCCGTTCTGTCACTTCCCTTTCCGGTAAGTGATGAGTAGATGTTAAGATTAAAAAATTCTAAACACTTTGAGATTCTAAGGGTCTCAGACTTGAAGACTTTTGGAATTTAAGGCTTCAATGGTTTAAGAATTAAGGTTTTAAGATTCAAAGACTTAAGGTGTTTGAAGGTTATAACAGCCAGGCCATTGCCCAGCCATTTTCCATCCATTATCAGATTTCGAAGGCTTTAAGATTTTATTTTTGGCGAGATTTTCAGATTTGAAGACTTTCGGAATTTAAGATTTTAAGATCTTAAGATGTCAAGACTTCAAAATTTGAAGATTAAGAGTTTAAGGAATTTAGAATATAGCCCGGATTGAAGGAATTTGATTATATTTTACTTGTTTATGAATTTAAGATTTTCAGATTGCAATAGTTCGAGATTTAAAGAATTTAAGTTTTTGAAGCTTTTAAGATTCTGAGGTTTTAAGATTTTGATAATTGCGGAATTTCATATTTTAAGATTTTAACATCTGAAGATTCAACGACATGAGGGTTTTTGAGAAGTCAAGATTCGAAGACTTGAGGATGTTTGTATTTTCAGGTTGTAAGATTCTATCTTCTAAGGTTGTAATTTTAAGATCTTAAGGTTTCAAGATTTGAAAAATTCAAGATTAAGAGTTTAAGGAAGTTAAAATATAGCCCGGATTGAAGGAAGGTAATATTTTAATAACTTAAGATTTTCAGATTTCAATTGTTCGAGGTTTAAAGAATTTAAGTTTTTAAAGCTTTTTAAGATTCTGAGATTTCAAAAAAAAGACTTTAGGAATTTCATATTTTAAGAGTTTAAGATCTCAAGATTCTAAGACATAAGGTTTTTAAGGTTTCAAGATTCGAAGACTTTAGGAAGTGTTTATATTTTCAGATTTTAAGATTCTAAGTTCTAAGATTTTAAGATCTTGAGATTCTAAGATTGATTGTTAGATTTTAATTTTGAGATTTTAATCTAGGCCATGTTCCATCCACTTTAGATTTTAAGATTTTCAGGTTGCACGTTTTCGTCAAAATTGGCCC